TTTCTATGATTTAAAACTAAGCCTACTGGGAGAGGAAGACTCATTTTGAATGACTCACCAATGCAAGTGCACTGAAGCCAACATATTCCTTTGATGAGATTTGATGTTCGTTGTCACGATAAACCTAAAACCTAGGGTATTATCAATGACCCATGCTCCAAGAAACCAAAGTTTAATCACCCATGCTCCAAGAAACCAAGGTCAGAACCAAGAAGTGGAACCATTTTTTATATCCCGCATTTATTTAAGCAAACCAAGTTGTAGATAGGAAATTAAAGCGTTCTAATGCTTTACAAATACAGAAAGAAGACACAGAAAAACAATACCCTGAAGAAAGTGCATCTGAGAACATAGTTCTGTCCCCGGAGGACACCTGCAGTGACCACACAGCAGCCATGGCTGACACATCCATCCGTCATTCTTGTTATTACATCGGTCAGTAGTTCTAATAGATAATTCAGCGATTTGCCTTTAAACAAATAATAATAATGATTCTGGTAGCCTTGAAGGGTTTGTGAGTGAATACACTGTACATACATGATATTAGGCGTAATGTGTTATTTCAATGCCGCTGTACATTATGCAGGGGAAATAATGCCTTATTACCCGATTACTGTGACACCCACTAACATGTGAACTAGTTTGCATAGGTGAGTCCTTTGGGCAGCATGATGTTGCTCTAGTCCACCAAGGCTTCAAGATTCACAGTGTAGAGGAAAAAAATATGAATTAAAGCATTTCTACTAAAATATATTTTAATAGCTGGTGTTAACAATTTGCATGACAAAAGCCAGATTATATTAGTAACATTGGGTTGTTTCTTCTGTGAGCCCCTTCATTTTAAAAACATTGTTTCCTTCAAAACTGTAAGCTCTCAAAGTTAGTAAAATCTTGCAAATTAATCAACCACAATTCTACACATTTTGAAGCCAATAAAAGCCAAACTGCACAGTGATTCAATTTTGCACTTTTATCACAAGTCAAAGACCAAACTGTTCCACGCCATGCCTGTAACACGCTCGCTGCTGCTTCTAAGATGCTCAGCCATTCATTGTGTGGACACTGAAGAATGGGACTATAATGCAGATTCTTTTTTTCCTTTAAGTAAAGCATTCTTCATAGCACTGGATTACAAAGAAGTATACACTATGCAAACTGAATACCATATATCTAACACCAAAAACATGTGGAATTTCCATGAATACACTAAAGTAACATGGACAACTGGGGATGAGATTTGCCCTGGGGACCCTTCCAGGCTTGTGGACTCCAGGATCCTAAGCCTCCTGGAATGATGGCCACAGAAGCATTATACAATGTCATGAGTTTTGGATCATCGATAGTTGACAGCGGCCTGGGAAGGACCTAATGGGCAAGGAATACTTGAGAAGGAGACTTTCATTTATCACTTGTTTACATAGCTTCTTCCTTAACTAAAGCTTTCTCAGCACCATGTCACGTTACCCAAAACAAGCACACTCCAGCCACTTTTAGATGATCAGAAGCAAATAGCTAAGGTATAATGAATTTGTGAAGTGAATTTCATCTTGTGTAATGAATTCAGCCTCATAATATAGGTATTTCATATCTCAAGCCTAAAATTAATGTTTATGCAGCTCAACTATATATAAATCTACAAAGAACCGTTCAAAAATTGGTGGAAAGAGTCAGTATTTTCTAAATTCCTAAACCTTTAGAAGTAAAATAATCAGCTATCACCCTTCATACCTGTCAGGAGCGTCTTACTTCCCCACCACAAAAATACCAATCCTGTGTAATAAAATATTACTATAGGATAAGCAGAAGCTTGCTTTTCTTTCCCAGGCAATAGTGGACAAACAAGGGTAATCAAAAAGGCACCTATTTTTGTATATATCTATATTATAATTTTGGTATAAACTATATCTACTTTATATAGAGATGTGTTATTAAAGGATCACACACATTTCCTCTGTCTTTTCATTAAAAACATTCCACTGGAGTTGAACAAATCTAAAAAAAAATACACCTCTTCAACTTCCACTGTTTTAGAAAAGCTGGCTTCCCAACCCCCAAAGTGTTGTAGAGCTCAGCACAGAGACGATAAGGAAAAAAAGACTGTGGCAAAACGGGCAAAACCGCATCTTTACCATCTTCAAGCAATGACTCTAGTGGCAAGGGAGGGGCTGGTCTGGTCTCATCCCTCTTCACACAAGGTGCTCTTGGAAATTGTGCTTGCATATTGCTGGGTGGTGTCTGGAGGTGGGGGGAGGCCTGAGAAGATGCAGGGACATCTGGCAACCAGATAAATGCTAATGTGAGATTACAAGAAGACACAAAGAAGTCATTTTGCCACAGGTGAGAGATAGAAAGCTTCCTTGGAGACTACGAATTCATAAAAACACTTGCTACAAAAACTGCTTTTCTCCAGAGAGGTGTGATCCGCATACAGCATTGTTTCTGAAAACTTGAAAAGTCTATCACATCGCTCCTTGTGCTTTTGTCAGGCTGGAGGACATGGGCTTAGGAAAGCAGGTGCGTGCTCCCGGTGCTTGGGCACCCAGTGTTCTGTAACTTGATTTGTAAAAAGGCTCATTTCTTAGACCCTTGCTTAGCTGTCAGCGTTATGTATGATACCTCTTGCCAAACTGAAGCTGGGCAGGTACCGTGTTAAAAGAGGAAAAGCTATTCAGCGATGTAGCTTTGAAAATGATTCTGTAAAATAGCACTTCGGTATTAATACACATAATTCCTATATTTCTGCTGAGATGCTTAATATCCTGACAAGCTTTAGTGACAATGACACCACTATCAAGTGAGAGTGTCAGAAGCATGTGACATCTTGTTCTCCCTCAGTCTTTACTGTAAAATAACCCCCCTCTCGTTAAATTCTGATCAGATCTGAATTCCTAAAGGCTGGAAGCAGAAACATCTTACTATGCAAACGTTATGTAAAGCTTACAATTTAGGAGAATTATTCCCCAAGTAAGTATTGACTTTTACATTCAATGAACCCGATTTTGAAATCAGTGGATGAGAAAAACAATGAAATATCAAGCTGCTACTTTATGGTAACTTTTCTCCATTATCCTTATCATTTTAAGTCAGTTTTCTTTGAGTTCCCTATAAATGTGCTATTTATCAAAAATTGTACCTGTCCTACATTTAGTCTGCAAAATTTAATCAACAACGACTCCTGTTTTATAATCGTGAAAAGAAGTCTGGGTGAAACGTAAATATTTACTTAATGGTATAATAAAACTGAGCAAGCTCATGTCCCTCACTTTTAATGCACATAAATTTTTGCAAGAATACTGCAAATTAAGTTTGTGTTTGTAGGTTTGTGTACAGGACATCAAAACTGATATGGGGTTTAATCAATCTAATCATGACCGGTCATTTCAATGATAGAAAATCAAACTGCCTATTCCGTAAAGCTCACTCAAAAAAGTCTCTATTTGCCTGAATTTTGTCTCTCTTCAATTTTATGTCGGTGTCATGCAGATGAAGCTTGCGTGCAATAAATTTTATTCTATTTACTCTTTTAGCTAGATAAGATGAAACTACAGGTTTTTAAAAGTATTAGCTAAGCTTTCAAAGGTGTTAATAAATTAATGTTTGCCTTTGGACTGATAAACATTTCAATAAAATATTTTTGTTAATTTCTTTGATTAAAAGGTATTTCAATAAAATATTTTTGTTAATTTCTTTGATTAAAAGGTATAAGGAGATATCCCCAACCCATACATTTTACTACATTTTTGAGACTTAGCTTTTTCAGCTTCACCTCAACTATAGAGTCAGATCCTATATGAATGCTACCCTGTTGCAGGTCCCAATAAATGACACAATCAGAAAAACACAGTTGCTGATGGATGTTAATCTCAGGTGAGCTTGACTGTGGACTCAGGTGAAAGTCACAACCCACAGGCAAAGGCTGCAGTCATGGCTGTGAATCCAGAAAGAAACTGCAAGGTCACTCGTTTGAAAAATCAAAATCTGACAACAATTCCATTTTCAGTGAACAACCTGTGCCTGGACCTAAAATCTCTGATGACATTCCTGTCTCA